ATAAAGAGTAGCGGGAGGGGCGGCCGAGGGGTGCTGGCAGCTGGAAAAGATGGGGAGCAGGGCAGGGGGCGGTGGGAGGCTCCTGGCGTGGAGGGGGACGGTGTCAGGGCGGTTCTGGTGGGTGTTGGTGCCAGCCTAACCCGCTGTGTTCTCTTGCAGTGGCTGATATCCCAGCAGGTATCCTTTTCCCGGGATCCAGGAAGGGCTTCCAGCTCCAAACAGCTCCAAGGAAACTCCCAAAACACCTCAAGGGCCTGGGGTGGGGGCATGGAATGGGTGTTTTGGGTTGGAAAGAACCTTAAATCTCATCCCTGTTTTCCTGAGGGGTTTTGGAGGCTTTGCTGCTGTTTCCCACCGAGACTTTGTGGTTCCCTTAACCCTGGTGCCAGATCCCCCAGTTTGAAGATGTGAAGTTTGAAGCAGCCAGTTTGCTGTCAGAGCTCTACTGCCAGGAGGTGAGAAAAACCCCCCAAAACCCCTCTGTGCCCCTCAAATCTGGGTTTCTCCAGTCCTCCCAAATCCTGGATACCACCAGTCCTCCCCAAATCCCAGATTTTTCCAATCCTATCCAACCCTACCTTGGACATTCCAAGGCCCCAGCCGCCCCGCACTTTCCCCATTTGATTTTTGTTGCTTCCAACACTGTGATCCCTCTCTGCCAGCCCTCCCTGGAGGTTCAGCGTGGTTTTGCAGGGAATCCCAGGGCTGTGGGCTCCCAGGGTCCAGGTTTGTTGGTGACGGGGGGTGTCTGTGTTGCAGAATTCCGTGGACACGGCCAAGCCCCTGCTGCGCAAAGCCATCCAGATCTCCCAGCAGACTCCCTACTGGCACTGCAGGCTGCTCTTCCAGCTGGCTGTGAGTCCTTGGAGCTGCAATTCCTTGGGGAAAAATCCTGCAAAAATCCTGCATGCCCATTCAAAACAGCCTGGAAACCTTGCGTTCAGTTATTCCCTAAAAAATTGCTGTCAATGGGTGGATTTTATCCCTTTATACCCTAAAAATTTGTCATTAGTGGGGAGGGAAAAGGCAAATCCAGGGTGGGAATTGGTGTTGGATTGGATCAAGGAATCAGCCAGGATCACTCTGTGGGAATTAGGCACCTGGAATTCCAAGGATGGTGGGAAAAAAATCCATTTTGGGGTTTATCCTGCTGGGCTTGGAAGTGTTGATTGGTTTATGTTTAATGTGGGATGGGAGAAGGAGGGAAGGGAGCAAGGATAAGAATCCAAGGAAAATTTTTGTTCCTGCTCTGGAATATGCTCCAGAATATTTATAAATTAAAAATATTAATGAGAATAGTGACACACTGAAGTGTAAGTATGGAAAAAGAATGTTCATTTCCTATTGATTAAGAAATATTTAGTATCCCAGAAATTGAGGAATATGTAGTTTTCCAGGAGTTCATCCTGAGGACTCTGAAGCTTTTCCTCTCCCTGGAGCTTCCCATTGTTCCCTGATTTCCCATTTCCTTGGAGCCTCTTCCTGAATTCCCACCTGGGTTTGGGAAAGGGATCAAATTTGGGAGCTTGGGGGCTCCTCGTGCTGGGAAAGCCCTTGCTCCAGTGTGACAGTCCCTGGAATCAGATCAGCACTGGATTTTCACCCTTTGCAGGATCTGCCTCCAATTTCTAACCAATTCCTCGTTAATTAGGATTTGAAGATAAAATATCCTTCTGGGCTCAAAAAAATCCTTGAAAACTCTCCGATTTCTTTGGAAAGCGGATCTAAAACCCCTTTAAGGAGCAGGAATTTGTAAATCCGGGGATGACGGTGTTTCTTTGGGGATCGTGAAGCAAATCCTGGGTTCTCACGGCATTTTTTATTCCCATTTTTTTATTCCCATTTTTCAGCAACTGCACACGCTGGAGAAGGATTTGGTGTCGGCCTGCGACCTGCTGGGCGTGGGGGCGGAGTACGCGCGCGTGGTGGGCTCCGAGTACACCAGGTGACAGCGCTGCCTTCCGAGGGATCCCTGCCCGAATTCCCTGGGGTTTCATCCCTGGATTCCTGGGATTCCCTGCCTGGATTCCATGGGATTTCATCCCTGGATTCCGGGGATTCCCTGCCTGGATTCCATGGGGTTTCATCCCTGGATTCCTGGGATTCCCTGCCCGAATTCCCTGGGGTTTCATCCCTGGATTCCATGGAATTCCCTTCCTGAATTCCCTTGGATTCCCTGCCTGGATTCCATGGGGTTTCATCCCTGGATTCCGGGGATTCCCTGCCTGGATTCCATGGGGTTTCATCCCTGGATTCCATGGGATATCCTGCCTGAATTCCCTGGGGTTTCATCCCTGATTTCCCTGGGATTCCCTGCCTGGATTCCATGGAATTCCCTCCCTGAATTCCCTTGGATTCCCTGCCTCAATTCCCTGGGATTCCCTGCCTGGATTCCATGGGGTTTCATCCTTGGATTCCATGGGATATCCTGCCTGAATTCCCTTGGATTCCCTCCCTGAATTCCCTGGGATTCCCTCCCTGAATTCCCTGGGATTCCCTCCCTGAATTCCCTGGGATTCCTTCCCTAAATTCCCTGGGATTTCCTCCCCAAATTCCCTGGGCTTCCTGCCTGAATTCCCTGGGATCTCCCTGCCTGAATTCCCTTAAACCTCTTCTTCCCCGTTTTTAGAGGGAGAAAAAGGCGTTTTTTTTTTTTTTTTCCTGGTGTTTTTCTCTTTGTGGATGGAGTAATTTCTTTTGGAATTTAACTTTATTTTCTTTCACTCCAGAGCCCTCTTTCTGCTCAGCAAGGGGATGGT